CTATAACCAAGATTGCTCTATCCAGCAAAGCTTTCATGTAGAATGGAAGGGCAGATAAAGTGCTTCTCAGAGAAGATCAAATATAAGGAGTTCATCATCACCAAGCCCTTATTATATGAAATGTTAAAGGACTTATCTAAGAAAAAGAAGGTAAAAAAGGTGAACAGTGAAAGGACAGCAAACTCAGTTATCAACAACCACACCTAAAAAAAAAAGCAAATTAAGAGGACAGCTAGATCAGGAGTGAACCATAGAAATGAAGATCACATGGAGGGTTAGCAACAGGGGAGTGGGAGGAAGAGAAAGGGGGAGAAGGTACAGAAAATAAGTAGCATAGATGGTAGGTAGAAAATAGATGGGGGAGGGCAAGAATAGTAGGGGAAATATAGAATCTAAAGAACTTGATACACGTGGTCATAAACTAAAGGGGAGAATGGTAGGGGTGGGGGGTGTAGGATGGAGGGGAATGGGGGGGAATAGAACAACTGTAATGGCATAGTCAATAAAATATATTAAAAATATACATATATAAGAAAAACACTGAAGAGATAATAGTCAAATGTTATGAGTTCTTTCCTCTGGGTAGTGAGGTTACATATGGGTTTTTTTTTCCTTCTAGTTTGTTTTCTTCAGAATTTTTTTAAAAAGATTGTTTAATTCATTTTTATTGAGAAGGGAAGAGAGTGAGAGAGAAATTTCAATGTGCAGTTCCCTCTTGTGCACCCCGCACTAGGGACCTTGCTTGCAACCCAGGCATGTGCCCTGACTGAGAACTGAACTGGTGACCTTTTGGTTCACAGCCCACGCTCAATCCACCGAGCTACACCAGCCAGGGCTCTTCAGAATTTTTTTTTTTTACAATGAACATATTGTAATAATAAAAAAATATATAAGATTTAACATCCCCTAAATAAATTTGAAAAAATTTTAAAAATTTTAGAAGATTTTAGTTATTTATTTTCAGAGAGAGGGAAAGAAAGGAAGAGAGGGAGGGAGAGAAAGATCCATACAGATCTGTTCCACCAAGATGGAGGCGTAGGTGGAAACACCTTGCGTCTGCGCACAACCAAATCTAAAAACAACAAAGTTTTAACAACAATAAACGCAACCAAACCACACAGAAAATCGACACTATGGAGTCCGAAAACAATGAAATGCTCAGCTAAACCGGTAAGGGGCGAAGCCAGCAGGGGAGCAGGTTGGCCAAAAAGATCCCCACCAGGGTGGTGCGCAAGCAGCCGAAGGCGCAGATCCCAGGTGCGGGCTACCTACGGGCGGACACAGGGTAGAGGTGTGGCTGGCTGTCTGCGGTCTGTTGAGCATTTGCATGCAGATAAACCAGTGAAGAGGTGAGCATTGAGACCTCACGGCGCACGGCAGCGGGCTCGCACATTTCCGCTCAGATAAACAGGCAGGGGCGAGCGGAGAGGACCGCCATTGCTCCCTCTCTGACCCCGCCCCCACATACAGCATCACAAAACCAGCGACCTGGGTGGCCCCGTCCTGGTAAACAACTGAGGCTCCGCTCCTCATACTTAACAGGCACAAACATAAAAACATGGCTCAAGAACAACTCAGAGCCCCAGAGTCGATAAATCTAAGTGGTGAAGAAATAGCCAAACTTTCAGATGCACAGTTCAAAAAAACACTGGTGATCAGGATCTTCATAGAACTGGTTGATTTTAGTCACAAATTACTGGTTGATTTTAGTCACAAATTAGAGGAACATATGAAGGCTAAACTAATTGAAATGAATGCAAATGCACAGGAAACCAATAGTAATGGAAAGGAGACTGGGACTCAAATCAAGGGAGTGGACCAGAAGGAAGGAAAAAATGACCAAACAGAAAAGAATGAAGAGACAAGAATTCAAAAAAGTGAGGAGAGGCTTAGGAACATCCAGGACATCTTTAAATGTTCCAATATTCGAATTATAGGGGTACCAGAAGGGGAAGAGGAACAGTCACGAGTGGAAACCTTATTTGAACAAATAATAAAAGAAATTCCCCGTTCTGGCAAAGGAAATAGACTTCCAGGAAATCCAGGAAGCTCAGAGAGTCCCAAAGAAGTTGGACCCAAGAAGGAACACACCAAGGTACATCATCATTACATTAGCCAAGATTAAAATGAAGGAGAGAATCCTAGAAGCAGCAAGAGATAAGGGGACAGTCACCTACAAAGGAGTTCCCATCAGACTGTCAGTGGATTTCTCAAAAGAGACCTTACAGGCAAGAAGGGGCTGGAAAGAGGTATTCCAAGTCATGAAATCCAAAGATCTACAACCAAGACTGCTCTATCCAGCAAAGTTTTCATTTAAAATGGAAAGTCAGATAAAGTGCTTCTCAGATAAGATCAAATTCAAGGCGTTCACCATCACCAAGGACTTATTATATGAAATGTTAAAGGGACTTACCTAAGAAAAAGGTAAAAAAGATGAACAGTGAAAGGACAGCAAACTCACAGTTATTAACAATCACACCTAAAACAAAAGCAAATTAAGAGGACAGCTAGATCAGGAGTGAACCATAGAAATGAAGATCACGTGGAGGATTAGCAACAGGGGAGTGGGAGAAGGGGGGAGAAGGTACAGAAAATAAGTAGCATAGATAGTAGAAAAAAGATGGGGGGAGGGTAAGAATAGTAGGGGAAATACAGAATCTAAAAAACTTGAGACACGTGTTCATGAACTAAAGGGGGGGAATGGTGGGGGCGGGGTGTGCAGGGTGGAGGGGAACGGAGGGGGGAAATAGAACAAATGTCATGGCATAATCAATAAATTAAAAAAAGATCCATACATATGCCCCCAACCAGGGACCTGGCCTGGTCCAAGTGGACGGAAGAGGACCAGCTCCTTGACCACAGCCCTTCCTACAGTCCCTGAGCTCCCTTCAAACCCAGTACTGCTTCCTCACCTGAGCCCCCGAAGAACCGGTATGGCAGGATGGACAGGTACCATTCACTCTATCCTACAGTTAGGAAAACTGTCCCTCTGCCCAAGGTCCACCTCAGAATTCAGGTTTCCCCACTTTCTCAAGGTACTCGTCCCACTGCACCTCTCTGATGTGCCTGCCCCAAGGAGGATCAAAACAGGGCATAAGGTATCTACCTTTCAGTCAGACCACCCGCTGGCCTGCGCAGGGATGCACGGGCAACCCCTTCACCAGAGCCTGGCACCTTCCTAATGATGCCATCCAGCTGCCTGGCCAGGTGCAAAGGCACACTCCTCCCAGCTCCTCTCTCACAAAGCACAGGTCCCATCCCTCACATGGTTCAGCAACCTGGCCTCAGCTGAAAAATACTTTGCTGGGAGCAACAAAAGTTTCCAGCATGTGAGAATTAAGCCATTGTTGATTTAATTCTCTTACTGGAATATAATTCATACAGTTTTTCCTCAAAGGAAAAAAACAGCAATGTATGTAGAACTAAGTGGATTCTCTGAATTTTTAACTCAGCCTAAGGTAAAGGAGAATAAGGTTAAGCTTATGACTTACTCAAATTAACAAAAAATACTATACATGTATTTTTTTGGAAGTTAGAAAAGAGAACTCCAGTCCCCCACGACCTTCTCTCAATTGCCCTCCAGTACAATTTAACAGAAACAAATTCTAAAGTTACCACAGTCCGTCTCCTTCTCAATGAACCTCTCCCTCCAACATTTAGCTACTTTATGCTCACATGACCCTACATCTTTGTGGAAATTATTTCCAAGGCCAAGTTTTTAAAAATAAAAATTTCCTAACTAAAATTGAGCAATCACTGGCCCTTGAGAATCCCTGTTGCCACATTTTTTCAAGGTCCATTTAAAAAATTAAAAGCATGTTCACTTTCATATAAAATAACTCAAAAACCATCCCATCGACATTCTTATAACATGTTGCAACCCCCACAGAAAAAGATTAGGAAACTACTAGGTCACCGACGCCTCCTTGTGAAGGAGGCATCGGGCTCAGGAGGTGCTGCACTGCTGAGTGACCCTAATATTGCACAAACAACAGGCATGTTGACTCGCACTCATGTGTATAAGCAACTGAAATATTCGAGAGCTGCACTGTCCAATACAATAGCCACTGGTCGCAGGTGCCTACTGAGCATTTCGACCGTAGGGAGTTCAAACTGAACCCCGTGCTGTGAGTGCACCAGACACACAGTGGGTTTTGAAGTCTTAGTACTAACAAAAGAAATCACATCTCATTGATAGTTTAATACTGATCACACGTTATCACAATATTTCCTGCATGTTGGGTTACATAAAACATTAATTTCACCATTTTAACTTTTTAAAAAAGATTTTATTTTTTATTTTTTGAGAGAAGGGAAAGGAGGGAGAAAGAGGGAAAGAAACATCTATCGGTTGCCTGTCGTATGTGTCCCCTCTGGGAACCGAACCTGCAGACTCTGCCATGTGCCCTGACCCGGAATCAAACCAGTAACCTTTCGCTTTGTGGGACAATGCCCAACCAACCAAGCCACCTTGGTCAGAATCACCTTTTCAATTTTTTTAAAAGATTTTATTTATTTATCTTTAGAGGGGAAGGGAAGGAGAGAGGGAGAGAAATATCAATGTATGGTTGCCCCTCATGCGTCCCCTGCTGGGAACTAGCCTGCAACCCAGGCACGTGCCCTGACTGGGAATTGAACTGCGATCCTCTGGTTCACAGGCCTGCGCTCAATCCACTGAGCTACACCAGCCAGGGCCCTTTTTAACTTTTTTAATGTCACTGCCAGAAACTCTAATTACATGTGACTCACATTATAACTCTATATAAATAATCCCGTCACCTTTGACTTGTTCTTTCTTACCCAATTTTCTTGAGTACGATAAGGCAGGTTTCTGTATTACAATCAAAGGCCGCCTTCACCCAGGGGGCACCCACCAGGAAACTACAGGACAGGCAAGTGTCCCCGGGGATTCAAGGTTGCCCTTCACAGGCTTCACAAGGAGGCTGCCAGAATCATCTCTGCACACAGGCCAGAGCACCAAGTTTCCACATCTGACTCACCTGGCAGATGGTCATGAACTTCTCGACTGATGGGCGTAGTGCAGACTCTACTGAAATCCAGAGAGTTATCCAGTATGGCATTTATCCTCTGGAAGATACTGGCGTTGCTACACGTGGAGAGTGCATGTGCCTCCTGGCCGTCCCAGCCGTCTTTGATCCTTCCCGCTTCCTCCTCCTAGACACAGAGCAGAGACATTCAGGGTGTCCACAGTCCTCACGACAGATGGAGCCCTCACACCCCCTTCCCCCAATCCGACACCATGAGTCAGAGAACTTCGTAACGAGGGTTTGAGTTTCCTGCCTGTGTGTTAAAATCCTTAGATATACTTGTGCTTACTGTGAGCCCTGAGCAGCCTGCCTCCAGAACCTTCTCCTCTACCGGGATGTATACCGGAGTTATCTTGGCAAGGTGGCAGCGGCACGAGCTGTAGATCCAGACGTACCTGGTTCAGAGCCTGGCGGATGTCTACACGACAGCCTGTTTTTTACCAATAAAACGGAATGAAGTATTGATGCAAGCTACTACATGGAGAAACCTCGAAAATATTATCCTACATCAAAGAAGCCAGTCACAGGAGACCACTTATTATACAAGTTCGCCGACATAAAATGTCTAGAATAAACACATCTGAAGCAGATCAGCTGCCTTCCACTAAGGGCGGGGGGAGATTAGGAAGTGGTGGCTAATGGGTACGAAGTTTCCCTGTGAGATGGTGAAAATATTCTAAAATTAGATTTGACTGCAACTCTGTAAAGATACTAAAAATCACTGACTTGTATACTGAAAGGTGAACTTTATGTAAATGACTTCTCAATACATGTGTTTAAAAAGTGTATTTCCGCTATTCATTGGCCATTACTCAACCTTTGTGCCTCGGTTTCCCCATTTGTGAAATGGAAAGAGAGTATCACCCTCTTGATGAAATATATTGAGTGCACGGTAGCTGCTAGTTGTACTTGAAGGTACAGTCACAGCCAAAGACGTGGGAAGAGTGGTACGAACACCACACAAATGAATTGTTGACAGAAGGTGTGCAATTCCATGTGGTCAGTAAAGGTACACACAACTCACCTAAGACATTACCGAATGAAAAAAGCACTCCTCATACACAATCGGGAACTGAGCCCCCCCCAATAAGCGACCCTTTGGGTATCTAAAGCTCAGTGAACACCCAGCAGGCACCCTGGACTGAATCCAGGTACATGCGCTTCACTCTCCAATCTGCCAGACTCACCCCATCCAGGGCCCGACATCGGCAGTCACAGAACACTGGCTGACAGACCGCCTTTTAGGGGGAGCCAGACTCATCAGCTCCTTCATTCCCAGTTAGCTTGGGGAAAACCAACTAAAAACAGACTGAGTAGTAAGGGAACAAGCACCTAAGATGTCATAGTCTATTCAAGTCCAGGTAAGCCTGAGAAGGACCACGGCATTTAGTTGTGAACCCTGCCAGATGGCCTTGAGGGGACCAACTTGAGTCCCTTATTCCCAAGCTCTTGAAAAGACTGGTGTCCTCTGTGGCGGTGAGGACCGGAAGAGCCCCCAGTCCCCGACACAGGGCTTTCGCAGCCCTCGGTTTCTCGGTGTCTCCACTTCAGCAGGGCAGCTTCAGCGGCCAGGACACGGGCACTTATTACAGTCTCCCTGCAGGTCTTCCGGCAGCTCATTTCCCTGACTTGCTTATGATTAACGGGCACCAACTGCCTGCCACCTACACGGAACCCCCGAGAGTGAGCAGATTAGAGATTCAACCAGAAGAAAATTTTTTCAAGTCTAGAAAGCGAACTCAGAGCTTATTGTGTTGTGAGCAAGTGCAGCCCAAGCTGCAACGTGCTGTACACGGTCCTCTGAGGTGAGGGGGCTCGGAGGAAGAGGCTGTGCCTGGCGTGAGGGTAGGAGGAAGGGCTGAAGAGCATGGGGAACAGCGGGACAGCATCCAGAGTGGTCCCGAGTGTGCAGCATTCGGTACAGAGAGGAGAGCAGATGAGAGAGGTGGCCCTGCCTGCCAGGCTGGGGAGGTAGAGTTATCTTCTACAAAAGAGCTTTCCAAACTTTAAAACCCCTGTTAATATATAAAAGTTAACCTGATTTTAATTTACTGCAATCAGAGATGTGATCTATATGGATCCCCAGGTCCTGGCCACGTTTACAGGCAGGTCAATGACGACTGCGCATGAGTGTCAGGCAGCGACCACATGAGAGGTGGAGGCAGGAGAGCCAGGGAGGACACCCCGCCCCCCACCCCAGCTGGTCATCTGGGTAAAGATGGAGACCCGAAGGCCTCAGGGGTGGGGCAGGAGGGGCACCTGTTTCCCCGGGAGGAAAGAAGGTCTGAGAATGTCGCCATCTGTAGCAGTCTTAACCTAAACGGGAGGATGCCTGGCTGACCCCGCCCACTGCCTGCCCTTCTCTCAAGCACAGAGGACTCGCTGATATTCGAATAGAAGCAAACGAAGTGTTGCATTCATACCCAAACTCGTGACCACATCGCCAAGTACCCCACCGTTTGCCTTGAGTAACCAATTTAGAAGGAAGAGAGACATACAAAAATCCAAGTCAGCAACGTCAGATGGGGATAATATGTGTACAGGAGGAATAGAAACAGTAACGCCGTCTCACAGGACTTCTGTGACTACAGTGGACATGCTGGGCACAGTACCTAGGACATAATTATGGGCTGAAGAGCTGGATGTGGTGATCGTAGTGTCCTTGTTATGACACCAAGGGGTCAGAGGCCATCACAGGGATCCTTGAAGAAAATAATTTGCCCACAAAGGAGAAAAAAGGCACTAAAGACCCAGGCCAACTATTTCTTTGAAGATCCCAAGTTCTTTCATGTCAAATCTTGCTTGTCAATTGATTTTTTTTTTGGCTAGTCAATTGACTTTAAAAGCTTAGCTGAAAGATTAGAAACATAATGTAAGTCAGACTGCCTAAAACCTGAACCCGCAGGAGAAGGCAGTGTGATCCCTTTAATAAAACTCTAGTAAATGAATTCAGTTTTTCACTTTCAAAACACTCACCTATCCACCCCTACTCTGTACATTTTTATCTTAACTTTGATCGATTTATAGGTCTGACTTTATGCCCAAATTTTACCCCAAGGAAAAAGAGTAGGGTCTTTCCCTTGGTAACACTACAAGTGCCTGATAGATTTCGCTGTAATTTTTGGCATATTTTACCATAAAATGAGATCATTTGCAGCTTCTTTTGACCTTTATTTGGTCTTTCGCTATGAATAGGAAAGTAGGGTTTAAGACAGACCAAAGACTTTGCAAGAGAAGGCAAACCTTAGGGCTACTATGCTCATGGATCAACAGGAAAAAACAATTGGCAACGCTAGAGAAGAAAAACAACAATTCTCACTGTTACTGGCTGAAAATGGCCTCAAGATAAAACTACTCATACCGACTTACTATCAACAAGAATGGTTCATGAGGAATCCCTGCTAACACAAGCTATTTTTTTAATAGGTCTCAATTTGCCCTTTCAACAGTTAAGAGTTGGTACTCCCGTCCCCAAAGAGTGCTTTCCTTCCAGAATAATCCTCCACGGGGGGGGTGGGGGGGGGGAACTGCCATCTTGAGAATGCACCCTCCTTTTCCACAGGGGAAGAATCCTCCCCGAAACTGTGATTCGCTGTTCTGGAAAGCAAAAAGAAGACAGGCTTTGGAGCAGAAACACGAACTTCACCACTTGAAGTAGCCTCTCAGAGCCTTGGTTGCCTCAGGTATAACATGTGGTGCTACCTGCTCTGCAGACCTTGTGGTAAAGAGAAATGTATAGAAAACCCGGACATGCTCAATAACTAACTTGTCAGTGACAGACGTCCCTCAATGCCACACAGTTGCTCAAGTTACCATTACTCAGAAGTACACTTCAACTCTTTACCGTAGTCAGGCTCACCAAGAAGCACATGAACTTATTCAGCATGTAACTGGACAGTCTGCTGGTTTGGCAGTGGGTTTTGTTGTGTTTCAATTTTTTTGGATTTCTAAAACACTCAGAAGCTTTAGTGTTAAGAGACTTTCCCAAACCCAGGCAGGATGACGTGGGCAGGAAAAGTGGCAGGATGGCAGAGATGGCGGAGCCACCGGGTTCAATTCAGCCTCTTCAAATCCCAAACTTAAGACTTCGCCAAGATGGAGGTGTAGGTGGAAACACTGTGCCTTCTCACACAACTAAGTTTAAAAACAATAAAGTTTTAGCAACAAAAATTGCAGCCAAACCACAGAAAATTGAACTATATGAAAGTCCAACAACAACGACCCATTCAGCCAGACTGGTAAGACGGGTGGAGCCAGCAACCGAGCTGGTTGGGCAAAAAAGATCCCCCGACCAAGGCGCAGCCAAGGGCGGATCCCAGGTGTGGGGTAGCGGACCCAGTGAAGGTGCAAGGTTGCAGGCTGACCACGGGCACACATTCACGTGCAGATAAACCAGTAAAGGACAGACTGCGCAGGCCCCAGCTGCAGGAAGCAGCAGAGGGGACCTCTATTGCCCCGTCTGCCACCCCCCCACATACAGCATCACAAACCAGCAACCTGGGTGGCCCTGCCCTGGTGAACACCTAAGGCTCCCCTCCTCATACTAACAGGCGAAAACAGACCAAAACATGGCTCAAGAAGAACTCAAACCCCTGGAGCCAATAACTCTAAGCGACAAAGAAATAGCCACACTTTCAGATGCACAGTTCAAAATGCTGGTGATCAGGATGCTCACAGAACTGGTTGATTTTAGTCACAAATTAGAGGAACATATGAAGGCTAAACTAATTGAAATGAATGCAAATGCACAGGAAACCAAGAGTGATGGAAATAAAACTGGGACTCAAATCAAGGGAGTGAACCAGAAGGAAGAAAACAAATGACCAAACAGGAAAGAATGAAAAGACAAGAATTCAAAAAAGTGAGGAGAGGCTTAAGAACCTCCAGGACATTTTGAAATGTTCCAACATCCGAATTATAGGGGTACCAGAAGGGGAAGAGGAACAGTCACGAGTGGAAACCTTATTTGAACAAATAATAAAAGAAATTCCCCAATCTGGCAAAGGAAATAGACTTCCAGGAAATCCAGGAAGCTCAGAGAGTCCCAAAGAAGTTGGACCCAAGAAGGAACACACCAAGGCACATCATCATTACATTAGCCAAGATTAAAGGATGAAGGAGAGAATC